TAAAAAAAATTTTAAAAAAATTGAAAATATTTTTTATTTAAAATATAAAAATAATAGGTGCCAAAAAAAAATATGAACACTATTCCGGTCAATCGGTCGAACGACCAGTTAGTCCAAATTTTTTCGCCTTCGACCGAGTTTTTAAAAGTGAGCGTGGAATTAATTTTTGAAAGTTGCAAACAAACACCACGTGAGAACCAATGACTGGAACTAAAGTTCCAAAACTCTACTAAACAGAGCCTTATTTTTTCTTTTACTAACATCTTTATAAATATGGATTGCATTATTGGATTCCAATTTGTTTCATTCTATTTTTTTAACAATATTTAGAGTGACAAGAGTAAATGGTATAACGAGACTACCAAGAAAGCAACCAAAAAATAGATAATAAGCCTGACCTAAAATATTTGATGCATGTATGTGAGAACTTGTTCCTACATAAGTTGGTTAGATATGAAATTTGGATTTTCATCTTATTGACGATTTATATGGAGCAACTTTTTCAGAAATGGGGTAAGGCATCTTGCCCTCCCTACACCTTGCTTTAGCAATAGTCTTGTGCACTAGGTCATCCTTTTTTTTGATGATTTATTAATAAATATTAAGTGCATATTCAAGATTTCATCCTGTTTAATTCTGCATCCATATATATATTAACTTCTACCATTATCAAGTTGGTCATTTTGATAGTTTAATCTGAATTACAGACTGCAGCAATCTTGAGTATCAAAAACTATTTCATGTTGGGGGATCTTCTTCTTCTTCTTTTTTTTATTTTTTACTAGTAGCTTGCAAATGTAAAATGCTAATGTTTGTAGTTCATTTTCCCCCTCTAATCTTGGTTAGCTCATTTACTGCATTTTAAAAATTATTTTAATGGTATCTTAGGAATGAATTCCTAGACAATATATATATTGTATAATATAAATCAATTTCCATTTTAATCTAGTTGGTGCAATATTTTGATCAATTTTTATCATGCAATCTTCAATCCCTTTTTAGTCTGGCTGTATAATGTGATTGCCCCTTTTTCTCCCTTTTTTTTTTTCCCCCCCCCCCCCCCCCGCCATTACTTTCCGTGACCATTTTTTTTTTTTTTGGTCACAAAAAATTACCTATTAGCTATCAAAATGTCATTGGTTGCTAAAACACAACTCATCAGCGACCAAAAAAATGTTAGTCGCAGAAAGTCAACTAATCTATGACCAACTCAAAAAAGACAGTCGCCAAAAATATTTTTTCTTATAGTGTACTAACCAACATGTATACACTCTATACATACATATACTTCTCTAACTGAATCAGTTAGACACATAGTTCTAAATATCGGCCGATACGCCACGTATCGGAAAAATGGGGTACTGCGACGGATACAGGTCAGTATACTGCTGAGATTGAAAATCGCAGGAGTATCGGCTGAGTCTCAGTACGTATCGGCTTTTTAGCATTACACAAGCCGCACAAGCCGCGATGGGCCAATACTCGCAGGTTCGGACCAGTATGGGAAAGAAAAAGCTAAACAACCTATGAAATGATTTCTAAAATTTCACCGCCGCGACACCCGATTTTCGATACGTACCGATCGATACTACCGATACCGATA